TTCCCTCAGTTCTGGTGGCAAATATAATACACATAATCCATATTGTTATGCACTAGCTTGTATGTGTGAAATAGATGGATTATGGTCCCGTACCCAATAAGATGGATATGTGTGTGTGTGTGTTAGAGAGAGAGGGAGAGGAGGATAGAGAGTGAGAAAGACGGAGGGAGAGTGTGTGTCTGTGTGTGTGTGAGGATTTGATGGTAAAAAAGGTCGTCAATGTCGTAATATTGAACTCTTAAAGTTAATGTGGCCCCGTTGCAACGCACGGGCGTTCTTCTAGTAGTAGTATAGAAGCACACCTTTCCTCGTACATTGATAAAATAGCACACCTTTTTTTTGTTAGATTAAATGACACACTTTTCCTTCAGGGTTAGATAAAATGACACAAACTGAATTTTTTTTCTCAATTTCCACGTCAGGGCGTACGCGTCATATTATTTTGGACGATTTTGCCCTTTAGACTAGTTCGATCGAAAGAGGAGACGAGACGATCCAGAGAGGATGAGAGAACACCGGAACAGAGGAACGACGGAGCCAGCCACGATCTAGCCGTGATTCGTCCCCGAGCCGCCCCGTCCGGCACCTTACCGCGCGCCGCGGCCGCCGTACGCCGCGCTGCGGCTGCTTCATCGCCGTGCGGAGAAGAAGGGCGCCGCCACTTCAAGTCCCCCTGCAGCGCGTGGCAGTGCAGGCCGGTCGCTCGCCGTAGCGTACGTTCGTTTGCTGGCTGTAGGTGCTCGCTCCTGTAGAAGCCTGTAGGTGTAGGTGGCTGCTGACTGGTATAGTTGTTTGCTTTAGCAGGGAAGTAGAGTTGAACAAGAGAAATGCATCAGTAACTGAATAAACGATCGTACAAACATACATGTACGCAGAGAAAATACGACAGTACAAAAGAAAGGCATCAGTATATAAATCGTAGCTAGCATAAGGCAGTGCCTTCATCCATCAAATATTACTCAAAAATTACAAGAATCACGTATAGAGAGAACACGGATCAAGAGAGAAGATGGGATGAAACCTGTACGGCCAGATGAGGCGGCGGCGGCGGAACGGGTGGAGCGACAGGAGACAGGAAGAAACGGGATGAAGCGCCGGGAGATGAGGGGAGCACGTCGGGGTAGAGGCGGCGACAATGGAATTGGCAGGGCCGGCTCGTGTGGGAGGAAGCCGGCGAGGCGGCGATCCATCTTCCTCGCTGCGTTACTTTTCGCTCGGTTTCCAAACAGAGGTTCGACTGAACTAGTTTACTGCGTAGAACAGATCAAAGGGCAAAATCGTCTAAAATGATATGAGTGTAGGTCCTGACCTGAAAATTGAGAAAAATGTCTGTTTGTGCCATTTTGTCTAGCCCTGAAGGAAAAGTGTGTCATTTAATCTAACAAAAAGAAAGATGTGCTATTTTATCAACGTACGAGGAAACGTGAGCTATTTTATCAAATTGCTCCAAGTGCTGGATTGGTTGCATGCAAAAGGGAGCCGTGCCGCTAGCTGCATGCAAAATTGCTAAGCAATTTGATTGGCTGTTGTTATTATCTGAAAGTACGCACAGTTCGTTATTAATGCTCTGCCTTGGTCTTTGTATTTTGGTTAATGGATCCAATAAACCTGGACGGAGGTAGTAGTTGTCTGCTTTAGGAGTGGCGTCAGTCCGTGGGGTTCTTATCTGGTTTTGCGGAGTGAAATTTGATGCGGATACGGTCGAATGCCTGCACGAATATATAGCACGGGCCTGGGCTCCTCGCCCAGCCCTCGCTTGCCGGAGCTCCGGCGACCTCCGGCATCATGGCGCTCAGCTTCTTCGGCTGCACAGCGCTCATTCTTTCTTCTCCTGCTTTCTTTTTTTGGAAAAAAAACTGCATCTGTAGTCACGAAGACCACATCCGGGCTCCCACCACTCAGTTTGGGCAGTAGCAGGCCAAGGCCGTCCGCTCTCTCTACCCCGGCCTGCTCAGGCCACTGCGCTCGCTGGGAACTAAAATATCTCCGCTCGCTACCAACTCAAAAACTATATATATATATATCTCCGCTCGCTGACTCGCTGCGCAAACCCAAAAGTCGTCTGTTTGCTGAAAAATAGGGTTACTCATTTTCTTTTGCTGGAGAAAAGGGGCTATACTTTTTTTCCCGGGGTATGGAAACATACACATCTGCTATTTCCTCCGTCTGACAATTTTTTAGGACGGAGGAAGTATTTGGTAAGACAGAAAGACAATACGATAATTTCCAAGCGGATAGAAAACATATACAGTGTAATAATCCTTTTTTTCGAAATTCATATTTATGTTTTTTTCTTCTTCTTCTGCAAAACACATGTATTTGTTCTTACCCATCTTTTACATGATTTTTTATTACTACATCTAAAATTAAAATTATTATATTATATTATTAGTAGCATTAGTATTACAACTAGTCTTGTTATTGCCAAGTTGTGAATATCATCATAATCACATCATACTAGAATCTGTTTATAGGCGTTCCAGCAGATTATTTCTACCTCCTTGGCTTCGGCTCTCTTTTCCTTTGCTGATACTATTAGTTCTTCATCTTCAAGAGAAGATGCAAAGCTTGTTGCGCAAAAAAAAATATGCAAAGCTTAGTATTACTTGTACCTGTCAATCGCATTCAAGTTTCAGATTGAGAGTTGGCTTTGCATGCTTTGTTTGCGGGATTAATGGGTTCAAATGAGTTGAGCAAACGGTACAAAAGCAAATTACGGAAACTGTTTGGTCTAGTTTCTCTATAGATTGGAATGTCGTGTGGTGTGGTTTGGGTTCAAATTATGGGTCCAGGAGTAAGCATGTAGATTTGGTTGGACAGGTACCAACAGTTGGCCTGGTTGCTAACGCCGTGAAAGCCGCGAGAGGATGGGGAAGGGGAGTGGGGCAATTGGGAGAGTAGACATGCCCCCCGTCCGTCCGCCTGTAGTTTTAATGTTACATTTTCTTCTTCTTTTTTGGCGAAATAATTTCAACGTTATCGGATTTCTAGTACTTTACATGTCGTATTTACAATGTTCCCTCTTCTATCTTGCAGTTTCATGGATTGGACGTGTGTTAATGGCGACTTAGTCTTGAACAAATTCTTGTTGGTGGACAAACTGATTAGTTGTTTCAAGACTTACATCGTTGGGTATGATGCACTTCATACCAAGGGATCTGAGATGTTTGGATTCGTGTGTTTGCTGGGATTCTTCTTTCACTGTTTTGCTATTGCATATCATCTCGTCAAGAATCAAAGAACTTGGATCAGGACTAGGGTAAAATTTATCGAATATATCCTCCTTTTATCATACTACATCAAATGGTGGGTACTACCAAGTTCAATAGTACCTATGCATCTTTCTCTACAGATTTTCGGCATGTTGATCGTGATGGCGGCTGGAGTTTTTTTGCTTTGTCGTGGGATGGTAATTCCAAGGAGTAATGCTTGGCATACTAATGCGGTTCCTGCGATCGCCATTGTTATAGTCTTGATCGATGGTGTTATAGTCATACGTTCCCAGGTATAAGATCTCATTACATGTGTTCTTAGATGACAAATGCTTATACATTGGTTTTTATTTCTGACACTTCAAATTTGTTGCATGGATACAAAAGAATGGAAGCAATGGACGATGGCGCCGCGATCTGATCCTAAAACTGGTCGAGACTGTCATCAACATCTTTCGATTGGTTGATTTAACAGAACGAACACACAATCACTGGAATGCAGAGAAGATACTTCATCTGGTAAAAATGATTCTCTGCAATTAGTGACACACATATTGTTCGATAAATTGAGAGTTGAATATTTCTTCAAAAAAAGATGAATGTTCCTTATTTGTGTTCGTAGGTGGGAAGCAGCATGTCCGCGTTAATCGGAATCTTTCTAGCTGGCTTGATGGTGTACAACGCGGGCATCATATCCAAGATGATTGAATGGCATAGAAAGAAGGCTCAAGATTCTGCCGGGTACAAAGATGGCAATGTGGAGGAGCAGGTCGCGGAAGCAGGTGGCGACGTTGAGCTGGCGTTGCAGGCTTAGGTGTGTGGATCTTAGCTTGGTTGTTGTTTCTGAGTACATAATTACTCAGTGTGTCCTTTTTTCTAACTGTGCGGGGGATTCCCCAATTTATCTGGTAATTTTGAGTCATGTCCTGTAACGCTGAATGATGATTTGTGTAAATCCCATGTACACATAATGTCAGAGATGAACATTATGTATGTTAAACTTTTGAAGTTTGGAGTAAAAAAAAATCGGAGTACTATATTTTATTAACATGATCAGTTTGTAGCATAGGTGACACATCACCAAATGTAGGGAGAATTTCAGAATCTAGATCGTGAAGGGCCACTGGTTTGGACGGCAACTCTAGCGCAACCCTCTATCGAGGTATCGAAAGATAAAACTCGGGTTCTTTTATCTCTTATTTCAAAAGAATATACTCAGGTTCTTTTGAAACCTAATATCATGATTAGATCTTTTAGGAAACTACGTAGGGAACTAAAATTGTACATGATACAATAACTTAGTATTACTCAAAACAATAGCTCACTAGTTTACCACAATTTTAATAAGGGTATAAGTTTTTCTGAGACAATTTTATACAATGGTATAATAACACGAACCCACAACTTTCATGTTATTTTTTCACACGGATCACAAACCCAGGCAGCCAGCTAGCTATTTAGCTCGTTTGACATCCATTCTGACAAGGTTGGCCCACCTGTCCGCGCCCACAGCAAGAGGGCCGAGCTGTATGTACACGTGTCAGTCTCGGATTGGCCGAGCGACGTGGAAGCTGAGGATAAGCATTCCTCTCCGGCAGTCGAACATTGACAATACTTCCATCCAGGCAGTTCACGCTTTTCTACAGAGAAAAAGTTTATAAAAGAAGCCATCCATCCGCGAAACCCACCCGCACAAATCCAAACAGCACTCGCCGTCGGCTTCCCCACCTCCCCTCACGCGCGCGACCTCGTCGTCGTCGGCTCGGAGATCCCGCCCGCCCGCCGGCCATGGACGCCGTCGACTCCGTGGTGGACCCGCTCCGCGAGTTCGCCAAGGACAGCGTCCGCCTCGTCAAGCGCTGCCACAAGCCCGACCGCAAGGGTAAATCCTCAACCGCTGAGCGTCCTCCGCCTCCCGATCTTCGGATCCGGTTTGTTTCCGTCCAGATCTGACGCCGTTTCTCTCTCCGCGCGTGCGCAGAGTTCACCAAGGTGGCGGCGCGGACGGCGATCGGGTTCGTCGTCATGGGGTTCGTGGGCTTCTTCGTCAAGCTCATCTTCATCCCCATCAACAACATCATCGTCGGCTCCGGCTAGGTACGTCCGCGTCTCCCTCTTGCCTGCACGGTTCAGGCTTGGATCCTGTTGTCTCGCGGTTTGATCTGTTGGATCTGCGGCGCGCGCGCCTGCCCCTGTCGATTCTGCGGCCGCGGGCCTGCGAAATTGAGTTCTGCCGACCTTGGGACTACGAACTTGCTTGTTGGGTTTTAGCACATCTTCTTAGGACATTCCTGCTATCCGAGCAATATTAGTAAGTTGGAAATTAGTAGATCCTTTTTTTCTCCAAATAAGCCCGCCAATTACTTCGCTGATTACCCTTGGTTCATCCGAATTGGGGGTTGATTGTTTACTTGCAAGTTTGTTTCACCATGTAAATCATCCCACAAGTGAGACCGGACAAATTGAAATTCTGAATGATTTGTTTGTGAGAAGTAATCCGTTTTTTTTACTTTATAACATTTTGATTTGATAGTACTATCCCAAAATTCAATAACCATTGGTCTGAATATTGGTCTGGGCAACTAGAAACAGCAGCTATTTTGAGGAACTGGATGTAATGAGGGTGGCAATCTCTTCCTCCGGACTATGATAATGCGAATTCGGGTGATGCAACTTTAGTTTGTAACAACCTCATCTACCCTGGATGATTGTGCTTGATTCCTTCATCTACCCTGGATGTGCACATCCTTGATTCTTTCTCGGTGGTTCCATCTCATTATTCTTGCAGGGTCACTTCTCTGTCTGAGAATCATAACTCTGTTCTGTATCGATCGAAGTCAATGTGCCATACCATCAACCATAAACTGAGCCATACCATCAACCATAAACTGAAGCCTTCCGAACGTGTGGCATGTTGTGGAATAGAAAAGCATGGGACGTGCAAGTTTTCTTTCCTCTTACCCATGGCATTACCTCATTTCCGCCCTGGTGAAGTTCCTGTTCTCATGTGAGTATAGGCAGCGTACTAACGGACCCTTCTGTTTCGCTGCAGGTTGGAGGACGACATGATGCGGGGATAGTGCGATGCCGGCGGTTGGGCCTGCGGTGTGTTGAATTAGGCGCCCAAAGTTTGTTCTGAAGTTGTTGTTGAAGACCTGTTTTGTGAGAAATTGTCACCAGCTTCATCTTCGTAATGAGTATAGATCTTGAAGTAGCGAGTTATAAAGTTTATGTTTTGTCATAATTCCCTGTGGTGCAAGGTAGATCGCTGATCGCAAGTGCTGATTACCGGTGATACGCGCACCACTGCCAACTACTTGGGCCACACTCACACGGTTCTGAAAATATAGAAATATGAAAAAAGTAAGAATCTAGAAATAAGAATATATTTGCTTGGTATATGCAACCATCAACGAAATCAAAATACTGTTACAAACTGCCTCAGCCGAGAGCCACATCGTATGGCATGAAGAGAAAGGTGTGAAGTAACTGTGTGGATTTTGTACCAACACACAACAGGTACATAACCTATATACACCACCCATTCTATACTCCGACATCTGTGCTTCACTTTACCGAGCAGATACATGGTCTATATGTTCTCCTCTCGTCCTTGGCGGCTGGAACCCTAGCCGCCGCAGGGGGAGGCCGATCTTCCAACACCGCTCTTTGGCGGCTCCCCTCCGCTGGCGACCTCGGTCGTCGGTGGTGAGGGGGGTCGCCGAATCCACGCGTGTGGATCGCTTTTACTCTCTCGTAGTCTAGGTTTTTAGGTTGTTCATCGTCTTTGCTTTGGCGGCGACGGTGACAATGCTGAATAAAGATACTTCAGATCCTTCCCTGACGAGGCCATCGGTCCTATGGTTGGGGATAATTTAGAAACCAGTCTGTTCAAGTAAGGATGGCGTGGCGGCGACAACATCCTCATGATGGACTTGTGTCCTCGGGCTTCGCCATTGCAACAACATTTGCTCCAGCGTCGGCGCGGCTTCGCCGTTGCGCTTGGGAGGTAGTCCAGGAGCGGATACAGATTGTGGTCTGCATCGACGACATCTGGAAGACGGAGCATGTGCTGCGCTTGTGGTTCGTGGATGGCAGATATGGTTTCCTACTTCGGCGTTTTAGTCGTGGTGGGATGTCAAATCTGGAGTTCGATGGCATGTCCAGAGTGTTGCCCCGGTCAGATTCGTTCAACGGCAAGGGCTTCACTTTTGGTGAGCCACCTTGAAGGTCTGCAAAGCTGTATATCTGTGATGGATCCGCGTCGAGCTCGGGTGAGGAGGTGATTCTTCATTCTTTTTTTCGGTGGCTGCTGTGGTGGTGCTGGAGGCAGGTGACGGGCGTTGGTGTCAAGCTCAGAGATGTTTTGCTGTTTTTTCAGTTTTGTCATGTCGGTCTTTACGTGACTTGTATTTTATTCTTTATGATATAAACGAGACACGTATTACCATGCAAAAAAAGATACATGGCCTATATAAACCACATGCACACAGAGCATGTACATTTCTTATATGTGTTATTTTTTCAAAAACATCTTGAACATTATTTGTCGGGGGAAACGACACCTATGGGGTCCCGGGGGATCCCTTCTATGGTTGGCGGGGCGTGGAGCTGCGCGAAGAGCAGGTCGAGAAGATCAACGCGAGGGGATTTTTACCCAGGTTCAGGGCGCAAACGATGCGTAAAACCCTAGTCCTGCTTGTCTTTGTTTATTTGAGTTCTTGAACTAGCTGCGGTGCAATGCCCAGTCAAAAAGTCCGAATCCTTCCACAGTATGCCTCGGGCCTTCTTTTATATGTCAAAGGGGTCGCCACGGTGGCACACAGAAGGTGGAAAGTGTCTACAGTGGAAAGTGTCTACAGTGTACAAGTTTATCACTTGGCACCATAGGATAAACGCATTTAATGCGCTGCCAACATGCCCTCTTGCTTTATCGGGGACGACAATGAAGCTCGTCTTGTCCGTCGCCGCCCCACCTTGCTCCGACACGCGTCCAAGATGATGAGGCATGGAGCGCCATGCTGGCTGGCTGGCTGCTGAGCTGGTGTGGTGACAGGGTCTTCACGAAGATCTGCATGCCACCACACAGGTGCTTGGTTAGTTGGCGGGCTGGTCGCCGCATCTGAACGACTGTGGGGTAGCGAAACATTGGCAGGTGCGGGCTTGGCCGCGGCCCCGCAGATGTCTCCGACAAGGGTCTTGCCGGGGTCTCGCCTCCGTCCCCGGCAAGGATCTTGCCGGGGGTCTTGTGGTCGTCCCCGGCAAGCATCTTGCCGGGGTCCTTGCGGCCGTCCCCGGCAAGAGGTCTTGCGGCCGTCCCCGGCAGGGATCTTGCCAGGGGTCTTCGTCTTCTAGTTGGTTTGCTTGAGTGTTGATCCATGCCGTGGGAGAGACGCTCCCCGCACGGTAGTAGTGCTTGCTGGCAAAATGATTGTCGGGCGTTGCCGAGCGCTGTCATGGCCCATATTCAGATGTTGGTGGGCCCCTGGTTCTCATTACACCAACACAGCCCTCAGGCCCAGCTTCAGCGGAGATCTCTAAGAGCTCGACGCTGGAGTTGGGGCCAAATTTTGCATGGGTCATGATAGTGTATAACCACGTTTCCAAAAAAAAGTTGCTTCCAAAGGCGTTGGCCAGCCCTCGAGTCTGCTTCCATGGAAATTTTCTGGCAGAGAACTTTACAGATCTAGATGCTAGAGTGTGGTTATGTTTCCTTTCTTCCTCCCGGCAAGGCTGTTGCCGGGAAGTATTATGTTTTCAGCTGAGAACTTTGATGTTCTCAATGCTTGATTTCAGTGGAGAACTCTGGAGTTCTCGACACTTTCGGGAAGGCTCATGGCGAAGAACTTCTCGTCCTTGACACCGGCTCCCGGCAAGATCGTTGCCGGGAAGGCTTATGGCGAAGAACTTCGCTATTCTTGGCACCAAGAAGATTGTTCATAAGGGCGTTGCCAGCCCCCGAGCCATAACTGCGTTTGAATATGACAAGTAAATTAGTATCCAAAAAGGCGCTTGAAAGCACAAGTGCTCCCTGGGTGGTTTTGGCAATTAATGACAACATATCTCTTATTGGACTAATACTTTCATCGAGTATATTTCAGATAAGTCCAACAGTGGAGTGGCATGGACAAGAGGATGTGGAGCCCCTTCAAGATGATAAGGACAAAGGATTGGCTCAAGCTCAAAGCTCAGGACTCTACATTTTCTATTTTAGTGATCCAAGATCACAATGAGTCCATAGGAAAAGCCAATACTATTAAGAGGGGATGAGGTGTTGCTTAATGGCTTGCTTGCTTAAAGTGCTTAGTGATATGCTCCAAAGCCCTCAACCACTTTCTCATATCTACATATGTCCCAAACCAAGAGTCAAACTCGGCCCCACCGAAACATTCTATCCGGCGCCACCGAGTTCATTTGACATAGTCACTGCCACAAACCCTAGTCACTTCAGTCTCACCAATAGGGATCTTGGTCTCACCGAGATGGGATTGCAAACTCTCTATTTCCTTTTCGTAATGCTTCGGTCCCACCGAGACGAGCGAATCGGTCCCACCGAGTTTGCCTAACCAACTCTCTGTTTGCTTATTACCAAAATCGATACCACCGAGTTTGAGTAATCGGTCCAACCGAGATTATGTTATGCCCTAACCCTAATGAAATCGGTCCCACCGAAATGGCCTAACTGTCACATATGTACTGAATCGGTCCGACCAAGTTTTCTGATTCGGTCCCACCGAGTTTGGTATAATGTGTGTAACGGTTAGATTTTGTGTGGAGGCTATATATACCCCTCCACCCACTCCTCATTCGTGGAGAGAGCCATCAGAACGTGCCTACACTTCCAACATACATTTTCTGAGAGAGAACCACCTACACTTGTGTTGAGATCAAGATATTCCATTCCAACCACATAAATCTTGATCTCTAGCCTTTCCCAAGTTGCTTTCCACTCAAATCATCTTTCTACCAAATCCAATCCTATGACAGAGAGTTGAGTGTTGGGGAGACTATCATTTGAAGCACAAGAGCAAGGAGTTCATCATCAACACACCATCTATTACCTTTTGAAGAGTGGTGTCTGCTAGATTGGTTAGGTG